CTTAAAAGTCACACTGCCTTTGATGACCAGCATATTGATGACCCTTTTGTAGGGCAATTTGGCTTGCAGGTCTTCAACAGTGAGCTCGAAGGGTCCCTCCATCTTCTCAGCAATGTGTTTCAATACCGCACGGTCTCCTGCAGGCAGGATGGTGACGAGATCGCCCTGCACATTTGCCTTGATGACATCACCAATGTTGCTTTTTGTGGTGAACACAACACCACCCCTGGTGGGTGTGAGCTGTAGCCGATGGGTTTGAGAAAGGGCATTACCATCAGAGCCAATGAAGGGCAGCGGAGGCCGAATCTGCAAATCTTCCAATTTGGCTTGTTGTGGACGTGGAGGCTTGGATTTCCACGGGCCCCAGGAGGCCGCATCTTTGGGCGATGGCACTGCGCTCTTCGGGGCACTTGGAGCAGCTGATGCTGTAGCTTTCCGGCCGGATTCATCAAGCATCGGAGTATCATCATCCTGAGCCCCGGCAGCAATGAACTCACCAGGAAATCTGTTTTCAATGATTCGCAACAGGTACCAGTCTCTCGTAGCAGAGGCAAAGTGCTCCCATACAGCTTGTGCTTCGTCCTGTACAAGAGCAATCGATGGAGCCCAGTGCGAAGTAGCCAAACGCTGTCGCTGAATCTCACTGAGGGAGATCTGACCGGCATCGACCCTGTTGAACAGCTGTTGCAGAATGTGATGTCCGCACATATGTGGCGGGCACACCTGGTCCACAAATACAAACTGCAATCGTGTACGGTCAGTTTCAGTGACATGCACCAAATGATCGAAGAGTGCTCGAAGCTGCTCCCTCATACTGGGCGGAACCGTGGCACTGAAATGCGTATCATCACCAGATTGGAAGGATTCCACCATGATCCAGTGGTTGTTCACCACAATAGGCCAAATGACGTGCCCGAACGTGGCATACTCTGGCTCAAGGCCGTTGAGGAAATTCAACTGTCCCTGTTGGATGGACCAAACTGCCGGCGCACAAAACAAGGTGGAGAGCGAGAGCAAACGCGGGCCCTCGAGTGTGTAGTCCATCTCATCTGTTGCAAGCCAGCCATTGAATTCTCTGAAGTGGTCCAACCTTTGCTGCACCCGATCAAGTCAGTTCTGCTCCTGAGAAGTCGGCCCAGTCGTGGGTGTGAGTGCTGTCGGAGTGTTGTTCCGATTCGGATGGCAGACTTGTAGCATCGGTTGTTGAGGAGGTCTGCCTTGCGCATGATTCACTGCAAGTGTGGGCAAACAACTCAACCTCCCTGGTGGTACCGGCAGTACGCCAGTCCTCGATGGAACACTGCAAAGCCACACACACAGCATCAAACAGGTGTTGAGGAAGATGATAGTGAGCTGCAACATCATCCAACTGATTGTGATGCCCACCTCGTGAGAACCAGCGCATGAGGAGGTTCCATCCGCACAAGTGAGGCTGATAGTGCTCCGGAGTGGCATGTAAATTGATCCGAGCTGGGTCAATGTCCATCAGCCGAGCCAAAATGGCGATAATCTGCTGGTGAAAATCTGAGTGGATCTGCACCAAGGTCACGTCGGTATTCTCTCCTTGTTTGGTGATCTCAGCAGCTCCCCAGTGGGACCTCACAAGGATAGGCAACAAGGTAACCGCATTGTTATAAATAACAGGGTCACCAAAATAAGCATCATCGAAGTGATCCTTGGTGATGTCCCACATGACCGGCGGAGAGGCTCTGATGCCAGCTCCCATCCACATCAGAGTTTGAGTGTGGGCATAGATTTCGTCAGATGCCGCCCAGCCGTGCGTGTTGGTCACGAACTCAATCCTGGCTTCAAAGTCCGAGCCTTCCCGAAGAATTCGTGGTCGCCCAACGAATTGATGGTGGCCACCCGCAACAACAGCACTTTTTGCGATGCAACACAGGATATCTCCATGGGCCAGCATGGTGCAGTGTTTGACATGCTGCCCGTTGATCTGCTGAATCACAGACGGAATTCCATCCAGCAAAAGCTCCTGTGAGCTGTCTGTCATCGATGGCACCTCGAAAGTCTTGGCGGTCTCAGAGATATGATCTTGCTGAAGTGTCACAACTGAGATGTGTCCAGCAGGCACGGGATTGTCGAGGATTGCAATGAGAGCACCACAACCATGGGCAAAAGTACTTGTCTTGCGTGAAAAGATGTCTCGGACTTTCTGAATACAGCGCTGTTGGTCAGAATCTGTGCACTGAACCGCAATGGGAGAACTTCCACTCTGATTGACCACAATAACCTCCTGTGTACGTGCAACCGCATCATCTTGCAGTGTTTCGATGATGGGCTGCACCGCTTGGAAAAGGTTGCTGCAAACAAAGTGATCCCAGAGTGGATCGTGCATACCAATCTTGCTCTCATCCCGGCAAGGCTCGAATGGCAGAGTCGGTGATATCTCGATGACCTCAGCAGTGTTGGCAGACTTTGCAGTCCCGAGGGTGATGTGGCACTGGCCAACAGGGCACATGTGGACATAGATTTGCCAATCTACATGTTGACAGGCTAAGGCAGCAATGGACTGACGGTTATGACTCTTGACATCATGATTGACAAGCTGGCATTGCGAAATGAGATCCCGTGGCCCCTTCAAAAGGACATGGAAAAGCTCAAATCCCTTGACATAGCTCGGAACCTGCTGTTCAAACTCAACACCCCCAATGACACCTTGGCAAATGACGTGCTCCGAATGGCATACCTGCGGCAAGACAGGAGAGATCCACTGGTTAATATCGTTCCGTGGGATGATATGCACAAAGTCTCCATGATGGAATGCAACAGAGTTCCAAGCGGTGAGGCGGTCAGCCCAAGCTTGGCGCAGGATCTTCAAAGGATCAATGGGTTCCCCCGTGATCGACAGAAACCCAACAGCGAGAGCCAGGATACTCTGAGGGACAGAGATCGCATTGCCCAGCACTTGGAAGGTGGCATGAATCTTTGAGGGAAATACCAAGCTTTCAACAGCTCCAAACATGGAAACGAAAAGCCCTGGAGGAAAGAAACGAAATCCATCGGAGGCATGTTGGAGGACAGCGAAAATGCCCTTGTTTTGCAAATGACCCTCATGGAGCAGGTGTTGGCGCGAATACGAGGCGCACAGGGTGGGCATGAAGTCTGAAGAATTCAAAACCCTGGACCAGAGCCCTTTGTTCTCATGCGGTGGACCCGGTTTGACAACCTTTGCTCGTTTCGCATGGGGGAGCAAATCATCCCGATTGTAAAATTCACATTCGGACGAACTGAGTCGAAGCTGGTCAGCCCACACTTTGGGGGTTCTCATTTCATGTTCTTGATGATCCCCGGGGACACGTGGGACAACTGATGGCTTGAGTGCGAAGGCAAAGTCCTGACATTTGTAGTCTGCTCGAACCCAGACACCGAGCCAGCGAGTTCGGTAGTGCCCAACGATCGAATGGAGCGGGGTGACTTGCGACCAAACAAGCCGAAAGCCCAAGCAATTCGCCAAGGCTTTCAGCAGAGGCCAATGAGGGTGGTTCACCAGCTCATCAGCACACTCAGCCGCGATTAAATTTGGCTGACATGCAGCAACTGTACACAAGGCATCAACAAACGAGTAGCCATTGGTGTCGTACAGCCCTGCACTCTTTCCACCACGACTCCAGCTTTGGCACGGTGGACTCATAGTCAGAACCAAATTCGACTGCGCGCGCAGCATATTCAGAATGGAATGGTCCTCAACCCCTCCGCAAATGCCAACAAATTCTGCTGGGGTCCAAGCAGTTCTGTAGGAAATGGGCGCCTTCAAAACGCGGGCTCCATGTTTCACAGAAATGATCAACTAACTGCCAGCCCTTGGCTCTTGAGGATAAAGGGTTGCGTCTTGCTCAGCCATCCAAGTGCCCGGCTCCATCCCGCAAATGATCCAGCATACAAATGCAAGGCAGACCAGGGCATCTCTGTCACTAGCTCTGGCCGGAAGCAGAGTGCAGCATGGTCAAACCAAGCCTCCTTCATGTCCTCAGTGCGGCGTAAGGATCCGGTGCAAATAATCTGTACGCCCTTGGCGAGATGAATCGACCGTGCAGCCACGTCCTGGACGTGTAGCCTCACCTGACACTCAGCGTCTCCAAGTGACACGAAGCCTTCACCCGGTTGGAACTGGAGCAACGCTGCATCAATCCAATGTTGTCCAACTGCAAGAACATCACCAACACAGCAATGTACGTCCCCAAACTTCGGAAAGCAAGTAGGGGACTGCAGATCACTGAAAAGGCCGCGGAGGCGAGATCGGAGAGGGTCTTGAAGGATCTGGTCGGCCAAATCCAAAGCGTGGAGCACAGCCATGGCAAAACCTACAGCACCAACTACACACCAAAACTCCACAGGTACAGGTGAAAACACAGACCAGGCTGGCTGGCTGCTGTTTGCAGCAACCTAGTCGACACCACCCCCACCGTGGAGGTGGCCAGTGGCCGCTGGGAGCCGTATCCCTAAGCCTACCGGTTTTGGGCCGCGGCGGCTACTACAATGCAATACAATATGATCTTTAGGGGCTGTGCCGCAGTGCTTTTCTTTTTGAGTCAATGCCAACGCATCATATTGCCTCGTGTTATTGTCATTGTACCTGCAATTCGCAGCGGATGCTGTTCTCAAAGCCTTTTGTGGGTCTTTCGCAAGTCTTATTAAAGCATCAAATCTCATGAGTGTTTGAAGCTGCTCATGACATCACGGTATTCAAGTTCGCGCAGCCACAAGTTACCACATAAACCAACTTCGCCACGTGTATTCGGTTTGGTTCACCTAAACGGTTGCTTCTGTCCACTCAACTGGCTACTCACGGAAGATCATCCTTGCGGAACCCTTTGGACAATCGACATTGGTTCCCTCGGTTGCAAGATGAACGAGACACGCGGCTCACGAGGAACATGGAATTGCTTGAAGATGCTAAACCAAAGATCCTGGACGCTAAGCCGAATGAGAACATTGAAAACCACCAAGCTGGCAGCCGGCAGCCAGTAGTTCGGACAAGATGCGGCAGTCAAAGACACAGCCAAGATGATTGATGGCGCCTCAGGCGAGATGGGTCATGCAGTCACGCAATCGGATCACCATTCATCACCAATCATACACACCCAAGGCAGTTGGTTCACAAGACCTTCTTGACAATTGTTACCACCAACCAGTGCACTTCATCCATTAGGGAAACACACTGACACACGCTTTATTTTGATGAAAATCCTTCTCACCGACTTCCTCCGACGAAGGGACTTTGTCGTTACATCCCGTGCATGTGGCTTGGCCACTTCCCAAAACAAAGATGCGTTGCAAAAACTGTTCTGGTTCGCCGAGTGTCAGTATAGAGCTGACAGGCCAGGCCCACCAGTCCGCCATTTCCCAGGGTGAGGCCGAAGAGAATGGCATAGTTCCTCAGCTGTGGAAGGACGAGAACATGGTCGCGTTTTTGCGAGAACTGTTTTCCAACGGGACGACATGTCGATCTGAATGTTTCGTGTCTGTTCTTCTGTCCTATACTGTTGTGTTGGACATATCTAATCATCTCATCTATCAGCCTGAAAACGACCATATTTAGCTAATCTAATAAAACTATTCCCCTTCATTGTTAGGTTGGATGCTTTTAGATGCATTTTATAAATTTTGGGCCTTATAAAATGCCTGGACAGGGTGGATTTCCTACAAAATGCCAAGCTGAACAAAAAACATCCAAACTATAAAATGGGGTAAGTGGATTCTGAACATTCAACACTAAACTTTGAAAACACAGCAGGCCTATAAAATGCCCATGATGGGTTCACCATAGAAAATATATCTAAAAAATGTCGATAAAATGCCAGGTGTGGGAGCAAACGCAAAAAAAAAGGGTGAACAGACAGGCGCACGTCAGAGACCATCAAGTGCCTCGCAACATCGCAGAACTTTGTCAAAGACGCTTTGTAATTGGATGTAATTAGCTGCCTATAACATGCCCAAGATTCAGGCATTATCTCGGCAAGAGACCCCAAGCAGTTTCTAGAGGTCTACAGTCCAGAGGTGTAGAAGCAGAAGGTCTAGAGGAAAAATCCTCAACACCTGGACATCCAGGCGGGTCTTGAGGTCCAAAAAGCTTTAGAGGTCTAGAGATCTAGAGGTTAGAGAGTTGGTCTTGACTCACAAGCCGGCTGCCACAAAATCTGCGCTTCAAGGTCCACAAAGTACTGCGGCTGCCACTTCAAGGTTCACAAAGTGCTCGGCTTCTGAAAGCGAGCCAGTCCAAAGGTCACGACTCATTGCACCTGCCACGAGAGCAGAGCGCGCCGAGGACCACTGCCGTGTCCAAAGTACTGCACCTAGCACAAAGTTTGCACATCGAAGTAAGCCGCCCCTGCACCTGCCACGAAAAGTCGACTTTGGACCGCCAAAGCACGAGGTGTCCATTGCGTCTGCCACTAAAAGTGACCACCAAGTCCGAAAATGCGCAGCAAGAGCGCAGTCGAAGCATGCACCCATGCCAGCACACCAACTTCTGCGAGCCTGCGCAGTCGAAAGCACTTCGAAGGTCTCGAGGTGAATGAATGTACCGTAAATAGCAGCGAATTAGCCAGACATGGATGCGCGCACCTCCGATCAAACACCCGGCGTTAACCATTGCTGTAAGAACCCCTAGTGAGACCACACTGTTGGGAGAAAACATACATCTTGAAGACTATGTCATAAATTGGATATTGCAGTAAGATGCAGTAAGGTAGGTGGATGGATGACAATTCCAGGACACCTACACCATCCACTCATACACAGAACAAGCATCTTCAACCAGCCTCAAGACTGTCCATCACATCATAACCAAGTAATACGTAGTAATAGCAAATCAAAAGCTCAAAATTCTCACAAATCAATTCTCCTAAGCTCGGGGGCATGAAGACTCGCCAATCTAACAAGTATGACAACACGGCGAGGCTGATTGGAGTTTTGCGTCCGAGGCTCAAGGGATATTTCCGAGTAGTCTCGAGACAGCCTCATGTCCGACTAGCAGGACTCCAGCATCCCGTGTTAGTGCCGGAAACCGTGTGAAGCCTTTAGATGAACCTCAAGCAGCTGAAACCAACATGTTCGCCTCTTGACATTGAAGGGTAGAGAAATTACATAATTCTGGAAGATTGGTGACATGTAGTTACTTCCTCAATCAGACTCTTCCTGCACATCTGAGAGGTGAAGCAGCTCCTTCTCTCCTGGGTTGGTTTGTCATGCAAAAGCAACTATCAGCTTCTTTCAGAAAAACCCTGACAAGTCGCCCGGTGTGCCAGCGGCCACCTGGGCCGCTTGATTTAACAGTAAAAAGACTTCCCCCCACCACTCCCCCACCCAAAAAAGAAAAGAGAATCCCGCCCACTTTAACGTTACCTCGCCCAACCATCCCCCGTACCCGTGAGGGAGTTGGTTGGAGTGGCAGATCAGCGCAAGGATGTTCCCCAAACATAGGATGAAGCACCTGCAAATCGGCCAAATCGGCTGCACTGAATGCCGGAGTGACTTCTGGGGCACAAGGGACATGCAGCTCCAGCAAAAACTGAAGTAAACCGCCAGAAGTTGTAATTCAAAGATTTGCAACAATTTGGATATCCTGGGTTCCCAACACCACTTGGATCCACCCATTGTTCCTCGTTGCCTCCTGGCAAACGGGGCTTGGGCGGCTTCGGGCTTCTTACGCCTTGCACATTTCCCCTAAAGGTTCCGTATGGTCGTGTACTTCTGTCATTCACTTCTGAGCAAGAGCCAGGCAAATGGACAGTGTCCTTTCACACAACCCTACACTCGTAGTTACAACAGCTCACCCTCACAGGTTGAAGATGCTTTCTTGGAATTAGGTCCTATAGGTGGTAGGCCTAAAGATCGAGAGCTCGACCTGTTTTTTGCTGAGCGAACGGATGAGCTGAAGAGTTTGGACGCCTTCGGGTGTGTCAGAGACTTCAAACTTCCACGGCCTTGACAACATGTCCGACACAACCACCCCTCCTGATGGCCCATGGAGGCCACTGGATACGCCACCAAAGCTGTGAGTAAAAGCTGGGCACCCACAATCCCATACCTTGCAGTAAGGCGCACAAGAAGCAACTGGGAAGTGAGAATAATCCTTGAAGGTTTTGACCCTGCCAGGTTACCTTTCGCACAGAAGGAAACTGCTCCAAATAGACTTGCTCATAATTGAGTGGCACTTATCCACGTCCACGTACATCCCACAGAACTGCAAACAACAAGCTAGTTCTGAGGCCACAGCTAAGTCGACTGTATATCACCGGCTCTTGCTGCCAGTGCAACACCACTGAAAGAAAGCGCCAGCATGCTCAGGACGTGGGTAACATTGACCAGTTTTATGCAGTGATCTCGATCAATCATTAGTAATATGACTGAATACACATATATATATATATATGTACTCTAGCCACCTTGGCCTACACCTGATGTCGCGTGATGGAAGAATGCAGGACCAAATTAACATGCTCCCATCGACTCTACCAATCAAACAACACGTGCTTTCAGAGTAGGATGGGCATTGCTGACGCGGGTGTGTCACGTCACCATGCTCTACTTGCGACCGCGGGATGTGTCGGACTCCGCAGCGCTTTCGTTTTGTCCAACAAGCGAGTTGCAGCTTTTCTCCCAGGTTTGTGGCGGTCGGAGGTTTGGGGTCGAAAAGGCGTTTTCCAGACTGCCTTCGGCAGTCTGGAAAGAAGATCGGTGGCACATCGCCGCCAAGCTCCTCACGACTGAGCTCTGGGAAGCCGTAGTTGACAGATTGGTCATCCTTGAGGGCCAAAACATGTCCATTTCAGGTTGCAGATTCCTTCAACATGCGTTGGGGAGTTCTAAAGTGAAACCTGTTCTGCTGGGCTATAACAAGGGGACGCTGGTTCAGAACATGAGCAACTAGAAATTGCTATTCATGCTCTTCCACGCTGGTATTGAAGAGGAACAAGCAACATGAGGGAACAAAATGGAACAACTGTGTATTTGTGGCCCTACTTGTGGCCCTGTATTTGCCCCGTTGTGTCCTTTCCGGCAACTCTCACAAGCGTACCCCTATACATGTACAAGATTGGAAGTGGAAGTTGGCCGCTAGAAAAATGCCGTGCTTGCCCCGGTCTGTGGTCCATCGGAATTCTCCTGCTCTAACGAGACACACTTAAGATCAAAGCATGCTCCAATGCATGAGAAATGCACCCCAAAAGATTAAAGTTTAAACGTTCAAACTCCACTCAACCTTCCACTGTGAATAGGAAGTTTCTTCGCCATCACGCCCTCGTGATGGTGTGATTGAGCAAGCCTTGGTGGCCATGTGCCCTCGAGCCTCTCCTCGACCCTTCGCCGAGGATAAAAATAAACACCTCACCCTGGACATTAGTTAGCAGAAGCAGCCCGGAGGCCATGAAGCGCAAAAAGGCACGAGTTAAAAATTATCAATTGAGTGTGATCATGCGCATAGGCCTGTGGTCGAACCAACCGGACCAACAACCACTGACACAAGCATCCAAGTTTTGCTTGTCAGAGCCACCATCCACACGTCTTACCTTGGCAACCAAAAGACCAAACAGTTTACATTCGGAAGAAGCCAATTTGTGAGGAGTCGTCCTCTGTCTGAGTAGATCCACTCCGAGCTGAATTCTGATCTATTCAATCTATTCTTAAGCTCAGCTGAACTGCTTCTCCTGACTCGACAGCTTCCTTTTGAGGCAGTCCGATTTTCTAGCAACTGTACATCTCCTCAACCATCTGCTGAAATTGGACCTCAGGGCAGATTGGAGATGGGAGAACCACAATGGTGAAGTCTCCCCATTGCTGGCAAATTCTGGATGTCCAAGCACCTTATTACACATGGACAATTTTCACACAACCTATATACTGTAACCTCTCTTTGAGAAACATAGCTACTACCTACCTCTAGTCTCTGAAATGACTGTTTCCCCCTCTGTTCGATTGACAAAGAGTGACGAAGAAAAAGGAGCTCTCTGATCATCGCTATGGCGTGAGTTGCTGAAGGCGAGTCTGTTCCAAGCACACACCCAAGGAGTCCTTGCGGGAGCCTTTTTTCCAACAAGGCCTGTGGTGGTCTCTGTCTTTATTCTGTCTTTCAAGTGGTAATTACACATCAGTGTGTTGAGAGCTCAGTAAAGGTAGGTGAGCAAACTCCAAGTGGTCAAGCACCCTTTTTCCCTCCTTCCACTGCCGAGTCCGAGTGGCACCTAACAGCGGCGCGGTCTTCATAAGGTCATCTGCGCAGACGGGATTTGTGCCTGGCATCGAAGGTTCCAGCTCATGTTTTGGCATTGGGCACATCACGATTGAGGCATCCCAGCCTTAAAATTCTCCTGCACCCCGTGAGCATAGACTCAATGTTACCCTGATGACTACAAGGTGCTCAGATACGCTATGTCCAAACATATCCTCTGAGCTGTCCAGGAAATCGTTTATTTCACAATGTTTCACGCAGCCCCCTCCCACCCATCTCCTCTGAGAGACCTCTGCGCCGGGCAATGATCGTGCAACAGTGCCACGTGACTTCGATGGCTCCTCTTGTCTTAGCCTTGACTGCTCTGGCCAGTCCAAAAAACCTTCCAACTCTTAGCAAGTGTATGCAAGTGTACCATCAAACCGTCGATTAGATGCCACCGCTGAGTCTAAATTGGAGGACAACTGTTCGTGCCTCTTGGTCTAGCAAGAAATGCCTGCATACCAAATCTCCAAACAAACATACAATTATATATATATGATCAAGTATGCAACATGATTATTACACTTTATACTATGGTGCATTGTATTCTTTGGGTCTATCCTATTACCAGTAGCAGTGGATGATGATGGTTGGTAAAGGCCTTTCTGAAATAGTGATCATTGTTTACCGACTGTTACATGTAATAGGACAGACCCAATGTACTGTGCTGTCATGAATTATCTATTCGTTGATTCTTCCTCTTGTCAGGCCTTTTGTGCTCTTTTGTGAATCTCCGTATCGTGCGTGTTCTATGTGACAACTGAAAATAGGCAGTGTGGGTACCAACAAGGTAGAACCCCTCATTGGGCTTATTTGCTGCAAACAAACAATCTTCAAACAAAAATAGTCGCCACTTCTCTTTCCATCAACAAAACTCTACCAGGAATCTCCACCGATGACCTCGTTTTTGAAACTTAGGGCTATTCTTGAACCCAGGAACTCATGAGCCAACAGTTTTCTCACAATCTCCGTCTGCGCCAGTTTCTGCTTTGCCAGACGCTCCGATTGCGGCCCATCGGGTGACAACCGCCGAAGAGGGCTGCGCTCCAACTTTTGCTCCATCGATGGGGAACGAGGAATTGGAGATCGATAACGCTCATGCGACCTCTCCGCCAGCCTCAGACAGGTATGGGGAGCACAACATGTGCCGTTTTACAATGGGGTGGCAGGAGATTTCGCTTTAGACAGGCCCAGGTCTTGGGAAATGACATGACCATCATGGCACACCATTATCTCAATAAGACAACATATCATTGTTTTGGGCAGCCCTGATCACGAGCTGCAAATACTATACCCCTGTTTCTGTGGGCAGTTCATGTGCAACTATATACAGTAACGATTCAATTGCCAACCTGCCTCAATCTGCAACTCCCACATTCAGTCTGCCCCAGGACTTCATTTTCCTTTAACAACGGATACACAAGCCCCGAAAAAGTCCGAGGGGTCAAATCACAAATTCTCTCAATAGGTGTCTATTGTAAGGCACACTCCAAAGAAGAACTTCAATCACGCCCAAAATCTCCAACAAACAACTCCATCTAACACACTCCAAGTCACTTCTGCGCCTTCTTCGAAATTGGTTCCGCAGGTCGACCAGGCTGCATGGCCCTCACGATCTTTCCCAACTGATCAGTCAAAAACCTCGGGCCGCCATTGGATCGACACGAAACTTTCAAGGGTGCAAATTTTGGAGCCTCCGGTGACGTTCCAGACCCTCTTGTCAAAAAATTATATATTATAGATGTTGGCTGCATTTGGCTGCCACAGCCCGTGGCTGGATGATCTATATACGTTATATACCACTGCGTCGAATTTTTCTGGCGAATGTGAACCCCTTCTCGCGGCCGCCGCAAGCATCGGTGCAAGCATCTGGCCCAGACAACATGCGTCACTCTCTTCCATGTTACACAGCTGCGTACAGTGATATACTGCCATGTCTGCACATCTTTTTTCAAATGCTGGACCAAAGTGACCACAATTCCGAATTGATCCTTTCGGTGCCTCCTCTCACTACATCCTTACACTTGCATGGCAGTATTGTAAGATATTGTACAGTAATGTGTATACATATATATATGGAAGTTGTCTGCGCTCTTCAACCTTTCCACATACCTTTGTGAGCTGTTTGCTCGCTTTCCATCTCTCACCGACTGGGATTGCATTTGCTTTGCAAATCTCGCACCACACCTTGTGACCGCGTCGATGAAGCACATGGGTGGGGTGCCCAGTCCATTGAGGGGGAGCCTCCCACTTTCCGCTCCAACTGGCTGCTGTAGAGCTGCTCGATCTTCTCCCTTGAGGAGTTTCTCAAGGTGCGCATGCCACACTTGCTGCAAACCAGGTAGTTGGTCTGGTTCTGAAGTTGATGGCCTTGTGGCTCTGGATGATCGATGAGCCGCTGGATGAAAGCCTGCTTCGATTCCTCTGGTGGGGTGCCCCCTTTGACTGGCAGACTGTGGGCAAGCTCACATGTCTCCTCCTTTGCTTGCCGCAGCTGTTGCAACGGCATGCGCTGGTGAATCCGACGTTGACATTGGCCACATTGGAGCCCATTGCCTTTCGGCTTCCACTGGTGGCCTCCTTCAAAGCCCGTGACACTGATCTCCAAGAACAGGGCTTTCTTCATGTCCCTGGTTTTTTGTCTGTTTTCCTTGCCTGTGGCCTTCTCCTCATCGATGTAGTGGTCAGGCGTGTCAAGGAGGTACTTGATGCGCTGTGCAGCCATCGGTGCGATTCGGTTGTACTTCCTGTCCTGTTCACGAAGTTCCCTCTCTTGGTCTAGAGGTCTTCTTGAGATGGCCACCTCCTGGGCTGCCTTGTTGGCGTCCTTGTACCTGGTGCGCAAAGAAAGGCTAGTGGTGGGCATCACCTGGAGCTGAGCTTTGGTGATGCTCAAGGCCCTCACCCTCTGTCTTTGATCCCATGTCGCCAGAGAGGCAAGATCGAAAAAGTGCTCTTGGTGTCGTCCCATCGCCCAAGCTTCCCAGGCCTTGATGGACATCACATGGACTCTGGTGGGGACCGTCAAGTCGACATAGTGAGCTATCATCCTCATCCCATAGTACCAAGCACGTGATTGCGACTGCCTTCCTGGCAATACTGTTGAGATGGCCCCCATCCGAAACATTTCACCTGCAAAGATTGTGTGGTGCACGATGGTCTCACTCTTGAGTCTCCACTTGTCGTGGCGATGCCAATTGTCATCGTTTGATGACCCGTGAGCTGAATGGCGTCGAGCTCCGTCATGGATCCCCATGCCTGGATGGCAGCACCGCCTGTGGACAGCTTGACTTGTGGGACCTGCAGGAGTCCTTGTGCCCAAAACTCCAGGTTGATGCCTTGCTCAAGCTCTTTCTGATCCTCTGGATCTAGTGGGCTGCAATTTTTGTTCGTCTGCTTGCATAGCCAGAGCACGTGAATGGCTGTGGCAGGTTGGTTGCAGTGAGGGCAGGTCATATGGCTCTGCTCACTGCCATCCGCCACCTTGGTGAAGATCGCCCCTTGGTGCCATGTCTGAAGGGCTGTCTTTGTGCGTGGGTTGGCCTGACTGGCCAATCTCTTCCACGGAAGCCAGTCCGAAGGTTGCTGGGTGTCTTGCAGCATCGTTCTCTGCTGGAGACGGGTGATGCGTTCTCTCACCTGTGCACGGTTTAGCTCCTCCCTCATGTAGAACCAGGATGAGTGCATGTTGATCTCGAAATCTTCTTCTCCATTTGCTCCCTGCTTTGTCCACCGGTCGTAGTGTGTGGTGTCCCATCCTCTATCATGCAGGTAGCAGAGAAGGGCTGCTACCCGTCCTTTGACCACCTGCCAAGGATGTTTGGCCTGCCTGAGCCGGTCCTTGGTGACATGCCAGGCCTTGTCGAGGTCTCGATGTAGGTGTTCAGGCCAATTACCAAAGCATTGTCTGTAGATCTTGATCTGACTAGCAAAGGCTTCAAAGTCAGGATCCTTGTGTCGTGGCTGCATATCGTAGACAATGTCCGCATTTCCTGTTCTTTGCAAGCCCATCTGTCGAGCCATCGTGATGCGGATGCGCTGTCGATGTTGTGGTGCCAGTCCAAGCGCCTGGTGTCCCCAACTGATCCCCGCTTGTATTGATCCCTTGTACAGCTTGAGGCGGACAGCCCGAAGGGGTATTTTGAGGGTGTGCAACTTCCTGGTCTTCTTGTGGGCTTTGCTTCTTCTCCCCTTCATAGTTTGAATGCGCCGGAGGCGCCCCGCTGTGCAGTCTACTCCCAAGTCCTTCATCACATCGTGAACTCTCGGGCCATTGCTCGGGAGTTGCCTTTGTAAGAGCCGCTTGGCCTGCACATTCGAGGTGATGAAGCCTGTCTTCTTGACAGACAACTTTAGGTTGTCCTCCTCCAGAAGCTCCTTGATGTAGTTGTAGGCCTGGATGGCGATCCGTACTGCATTTTCCACATCCCTGTCCACAACATCGAAGCTCAAGAGGTCTACGTGAAGGAAAGGAAATCTTTTGCAGAAGGCTTTGAATGCCCGTTGCAGGTATATCTTGGCTGCCAGAGGTGCTTGTGGGTCCCCAGCCAAGATGCCATTCTCAGTCCACATAGGTTGTGAAGCTTCTCCCTCTGCTTCCAGGATTCTGGTGCCAAGGTAAATCTGCATGGCAAAGGCTGCATGTGTGGCCGGATAGTTGGAGCTGATCCATCTCTCTGCCAGCTTCTGGAGGTTGATCCTGTCATAGAAATTGGACATGTCGAGGAGCACGGAGATGACCGTTTTTTTCAGCGCTTGGTTGTGTTCCGTGACGAAGGCTCGACGAAGCGCTACTTGCAAACACTCAGTCCCAGGGACTGCTCTCTCCCATGGCTATTCTTCCTCCAGCTGACCTTGCCACTCTTTGGTGTAGTCATTTCTCAATCGGCACCATAGTCTGTACATGGTGGCCACCAAGGCGATTGGCCTCTCGATCTCCGCCGTCTTTGGGAGCATAGCTATGAGGGCTACCAACCATTGGTTGGGTACAATGCCATCCGCTTCAATCTGGTGATACATGGTTACCAGATCTCTCATGGCTGTGAATGGAGTGTCTTCAAGAAGTCGAACCCAACTCCGTCCAATCCTGGTGCCTTGTTTGAGAGCTGCTTGATAGTGTGCCACATCTGCTTCTCAGTGAGAGGGTGCATGTTTGCCGCATGGTCCTTGGCCTTCTCGATCATGGCTTCTAGGGTCGTGACTTTGTGCTCACTTCCTCTGATGCCCCAAATTTCGCCGCATTGTTGGACTCGCTTCTCCATGCGCTCTTTTCTGGGCAGCTGTTGGAAAGGCCTAAGAAAAGGCTGTTCATCTTTCTTGAGACACCTGAAAGGGCCACGGTGACCTTTGAGGGACGCCTTTGCCAGCCATTCTCTATACTGCTCAGTTTCTGCTGCAAAACTGGCGGACTGATGCATTTCCCGTTGAGCTTTGGTGTGTTGCAACAGCGTTTGTAGGTGCTCAGGATCAGGTTGATTCCACACCATGCCAAAGAGCATCTTGTAGTTCTGCAGGGTGATGTTGTCATCCCAATGCCAGTGTTGGTCGATGTGCCATCCAAGTTTGGCCAGATGAGGTTGATCTCCCAGGAGATGCCCTGGTCTGTGCTGGATTTGTTGTAGTCTCACTTCAATCTGGTTCCAGAAAGCCATACTTCCTTTCTTCCACAGCCATGCCTTCGATGGATCAGTCAAAGGCTTGAGCTGAAATTTCAGCTTGGTGCCTCGTCCTTCCGTGGGCTTATCCAGGTTCTGCAGGACGTAGCGCTCGATGCGGCTGTAGATGATGCCTGATTGTCTGCTGATTTGGCTGTCTTCATAATCCAGCCATTGTACTGCGCGCTCTATGGGCTCAATTTGGCTCCACTCTGTTTTGACTTCTTCCAGCTTGGGGGCTGGATTGAACCTCGTGAGCTGATTGACTGAAATGGGTTCCATTGTCCAGCCAAGATGAAGCAGCAATTGAGCATGAGGTCGAAAAGGGACTTCCCAATTGGCCTGGATGGTCAGGTCCGCGCTGATTTGATTTGTTGCCAGCGCCCAGTCCAGCTCATTTCCCGTGTTGCATGTCTCCTCACCAACAGCTAGGAGCTGCACTTGCATGACCGTGCTCATTGAAGTGGCCATGAACTCCCCCGGCGTGACATTGAAATCCCCAACAATGATGCATGCATGGTTCACACTGGTGACAAAGCTGATGAGTCCGGCCCACAAAACCGAGTTGGTTTTTCCTTGAACTCCTTCTCCACACTTGAAGTACGCCCCCACCAAAACTATGTTCACATTGTGAAAGCTCCACATGACAGCATACCAACCACAACCTTCGATCATCTGGTGCTGTATATAGTGGAAATGCAGGTGTGGTGGAAAGACCAGCATGATGCCACCATTTGTTCCTCCTTTGGGACTTTCTGCCGCTGGTTGGCCCATGGCTGCCAGCCCTCTCGAGCTGAGCCATTGTACTGTCTTGAGGTGATCTGCTTCTCCAAGATGTGTTTCTGCCACTATGATGGGCGTTCTGGGCCTTCCTCCCAACCATTGCCTAACTTCCTGGCCCATGTTGGTCACATTGGCAAAGGCGAAGTCGATGCCCTCTTGGCAGCGCCGTTTGGCTTCTGGCTCCTGGTTGACAATGTCCTTATGGGTCATAGGAAAGTCACACTTGATGTTGTCAGGCAGGAGCTGCTTCGAAGGAATGGCCCAGACCTGAACTATTTGCTGTTTGATATTGTCTTGTAGATGAGGTAGAGCCCGTGGATAGGCCCCATCATCCGCCAGCCAGAAAAGGCCTCGGTACACAAAGATGGCGTAAAAATTGCCACTCTTGTGGCCATCTCCAGTGTGGCACAGCAATCCAACTAAGGAGTACTGCTCTGTTCTGGTCGTTTGGCCATCATAGCAAACTGGAAGGTTGAAAATGGAGGGCACGTCCAGGATGTTGTGATGCTTTGTCCATTCACCTTTCCGTTGGGTGTATCTCCCTATCTGTGCCACCCAAAGTCCTCCACCTGAAAGCACTTGCCCTTCAGCTGTATTTGCCCATTTTGCTATCAAAGGTTCAAAGTCCGGACCCTCATTGTCCGGGAAGATGAGGTGCGTGGGGAAGGCCTCACGCAAATGTACTTCTTGATGAAAATCCACATGGTGATAGTTGCGAATGACAGTTGTAGATTCTGAAAGCCTCACCAGCTCCTGAAGGAAGTGCGAGGCATCATCCTGGACCATGTCATTGAACTTCTCCCACAGTGGTTTCAACGTGACCAACGTTGTGATGTTGATCACTTCTGTATCCCCCAGCACTGCCATGACTGCTGGAGTGGTTTGCGCCCAAAGCTTGTTGCCTTGCATGAAGCTCCCTACCCATGCCCACAATCTGAAAGGGCCATTGGCGAAGCATCTGTTCCGGTAGTTCCCCAGCCTAGTCTGGAGGTTCTGAACCACATAGTCGAGGCTGGAGCGTTCTGCTTGTTCTCTGTCTTCTGGTGGAAGGCCAGAAGCATCTGCATGGATGCCCATGTCATCATCAATGGTGCCCATGCCCCCACAAAAACTTGGGAAGTGTTCACCTCCCTGTCCAAAAGCTGGCTTCTCTACAGAAGCATTGACCCCAAGGCCAGGCCATAGGAATTCGCCCCCTTCCTCAAAGCCTGAGCCGAAAGTAGCATGTTCGGTGCAAAGCTGGACAACTGAATCCCCAGGTTGTTCAGACTGAAGCGCGCATGCCTTTGCCCCTGAGACCTGCTGCCTTTGCATGCTATGTTGGTTACCCACACTTTCTTCGTTTCATGACTTCTCACCCAGCTTGTTGGCGAATTCTTTGGCCTGCTCTGCGGACACCTGCATGCCTAAGCTGGCCATGACCGTGAGCAGGTTTTCTGCTGTGATCTCATCTTGCATAGATTCGTCCGCCACCTTCTCCTTGTCTTTCTCAAGCTGCTGGTTGTACAAGTGTGTAGCATCCTGAAGCTCTTTCTGGGCGGTCTCGATCTTCGACTGGATCTCCTTCAAATCCTGCAGTAGCTGGGTGTACTGCTGCTTGACCTGGTCCGCTCGGATCTGGATGGCGGCCTTTTTCTCCGAGAGTTGCTTTAAGGTCCCAACCGCCACTTTGACCTTCTGGTTGAGAGGTGTCTCACTCTTGGGCGGCTCCACAATCTTCTCTACAGCCTCCTTCAGTTCGGCGGGCAAGCTCTGAAGGTGCTCTTTGATGAGTGTAGGTAGGTCCGGCGGTGGTGCCGGTGCTGCAGCCTGAATGCCCATAGCTTCAAGCTGTGTCTTGAGAGCCTCAGGGATGCTGGTCCAATGTTCTTGGAGCTTCTTCTCAATTCCCTTGACTCTGCCTTTGGGTTTCTTTGGCCCTTTGCCGCCATGGAGTCCTGGAGGTGGGGTGACCAGAACTTCCTTGTAGCTCCTCTTAGGCCATTGCTCTCCCTTCTTGTTGAAGTTCCACGAAGCCCATTCTACTCTTCTCTTCCGAAGGTCAGGCAGTGGGTGCTGTTTCCATTGGTGACCACATACATTGCATGCCATGTGTGGCTTTTGCACCAATCGATCTTCCCACAGCCAGCTCTGCCCACACCCTTTGCAGACCAGATAGTTCCGCCTCATACTGGATCGTGAAGGTCGGGCGTAGGCGTGGTTGTGGTTGCCCTCTTCAGCCTCAAGAACCTGCGTGTTCTTCACGTGAAGTGCCAAATAAATTGGCCAGCTGTTCTTGGGCCGAAATCTTGAGCCATACATATATATATATATAATATATTATATATATAGTATACATTACACTTAATTACATCTGCTCCCGGGCGCACCCCCTCGCAATCAAAGTTGAGAGGCAAACTTGGAGTTCAGGTATTATAGGTGAACCATCCCACATACATTAGGTAATCATTAGGTAAATCACCCCGAACACATGCGAGCCTCATCTGGGATCAACATTGCTCAACAGAAGGGTCGTTGGGGGCCTCTTGCCCCAAGGAAAGGCATATGTTTTTAGCTACTGTTTTGCGGGCAAATTTACCAGCATAGCGTCCTTATGCAGGGCTCAGGACTATTGCCATCTCTTGATGGATAAGCTAGGTAAAAGAGGTTCGCAAACCACCATGTGCCCACGCCATGACATGAAAGTTAGAGCTTCGTCCCCAAAAGCTCTCTTGGGGAATGTTTAATGGACATATCAGCCAAAGAGAGGCTGGTGAAAGCGCTTGCAACTAACATATCTTCCCCCCAAAAGAATTTGGCGGTCTCGCCGGGTCCATTTGATTTGAATCCTCTCCTTGTGTCTCTTGTGGTGGTGCCACGAGCGCGCTTGAACAGATCTTAGGCGCAAAGCCAGCAGCTTCGAATATGGCATCAATGCCCTGAAAGACGGATTAAGGTTAAAAGAGTCTTTCAAACCAGATAATTATGCCAGCTCCTCTTCTTCACAGCAACTCTTACAGTCCTTTCTCCTTCCTTTCCGTCGCTTCTCTCCTTTTAATGCAGCAACCTGCATCATTTCGAGCCCTTTTACCAGTCCAAAATCGACCTTCCGGCCCACCGTTGACACATTTGAAACGGCCTCACCGTCACTTGAAACGACCCCCAACCCCGTACATGTAACAAACTCACCATAGGCCACACAGTTCTCGACGAGACAAACTCTGCTTTTTCAGGTCAGAAACTCTAAAGACTGAGGATCAAGGTTAGGATCTCGCAGATTTGCCAGAAGCTTCGAAGCCACTTCTAACACTTCCACTCGCTCAGCTTCCACCTGGTTTGGTGGCCGAGTTGAAGGGACCCCAAGAGGTCCATTGAAAGGGCTGCAGAACTGTCTCAATTCCTGGGCACTTTTTTTTTTTTTTTTTAGAAGGATGTCATAAAGCTTATTAAAGCATTTACGATCGTTAAGTTAGGATCTGACCTTAGGTGTGTTTGTACTTCTCTCATGAGTGCAAGGACATTTCACTAGGGTAGAGACCCCAAACATGCACCAAGCTTCAACAACATCCAACAGCCATCCACATGTGCTACAAAAAACAGCCTTTAAGTCCCTGTTTCACCTGGAATAGCCTAGGCTTTGGATGCCGCTTTCGGATCCGTTCGGAACTCATCCACCTTCACCACCTCGGGTGGTGGTGGAGGATCTGTGTTCTCCGTCTCATCCTCCAGCTCCACCGGTGGTGGATCAGTCTGGGCCTCTTGGTCTCGACCTCAACTGGTCAATGTTTAACGAACACTTAAACTGAACGCACTCACGTGAACTGAACTACTTGTCGGTGAACTGCTTAAAATGGTTTCCTGTGTTCGAGCTACATGAACAAGGTCCAACATGCAGCATGCATCTTATGTTTGTATGATTGGTACTAAGTACAGTGGTTTGATACAGTATAAGTATATCCCTCTTCATTCCCATATATATATACACACGTGATTACTAGATGTGTGCTTAGAATAGATGTGAATAAATGGAATTGTAATGTACATCATTACTATACACGTGCTTGTTTCTTTCTATGATGCAATCATCCCATCATGGGGTTGGTAAAGATATGTGAACGGAAATGCTGGGAATCATACTCAAGCGTTGCTACACCACGTGAACATACCTGTCAAAGTCTTTTTGAACCTGTTCACTTGCACCTTTCACCTTACTAAATAAACAGTTGACTTAGTCACTCATCGACTCCACACTACTACTATGGCCCTGCAGCTAGAGCTCCAACTCACTTGCTTGGGTGCCTGTTTCTACTGCGCGGAGCTGTCAACATAAGAGAAAGCCTGCGAGAGTAGCTTCTGCAAATAAGGCTTTTACTTGGAGCGGGGGGCCAAAGCGACTCTGGTCGCCAAAGTTGACGTTGGAGCTCCTCGAGGTTTTGCTCTCTCAGGTCAGAGAGGGTAAGTGACCGTGACGTCGCGTGTTGTTTGCAAATGTTTGGCAGTAGTCAGAATGAAATGGCTCTTGGAGGCCATTGCAGAAAAAAGAACATAGAGAACATATAGTGGCTGAAAGTATCTGCTACTTGGCCCTTTGAATATAGCAGGGCGTGCTCTTTGTCAGTGTGTGGATGCAGTGGATGCTGCGCAAGCGCTTTTGGATAGCTTCTCGTACCCAGAGGAATACCTAGGTGCGGATACCAGCATGAACCAGCGATGCGCTTGTTTCCGTGGGCATGTGATGGCGCACAACCTGTCTGGCCGAAATGTGAGTGGTCTTTCCTTACAAGAAATGATCGTGTGATGGTGGTATGTAGTAGTATGCAAATTGTTTAGGCTCAGTGGTAGCAGGCAATGTTGTTTGTACAACTCAGTTTGCACCATGTTTTACCGACGCTGTTGATTTTGGTTGCCCTGTTTGACAGATATCGGCCGGACGATTTCTCAATTGAGGACATACCCGGCGGAGTTGCTGTAGGGCTGGGCTGAAAAGGTTTTGGGGCGCACCTTTGTCACAAAGCCGCCCGTTGTGTTAAACACCCATGACACAGAACATTTTGCAGGGCTTGACTATTGTGTAGCGGGCGCGGTCTGCATGTAATTTCTTTAAAAACAGCTTGTCACAGGCGAACTGCCTTCGGCAATAGCAAAAGGAAAAAGGAGCAACGGTGTCGATTGGAGCAATTGGGAATACATGGCTAAATACTGACCCCTCCACGCACACCCGGGGGGGCTAGTTTGAAGCCGCTGTTCTTCACAAAGCAAAAAATTACAGGATTTGACTCACTTACAGTTACGAGCGTTTGTCCCGTTGCGTTTGTTACTCCCTTGTTCTTAGCCGTCCGGGCGCGTCCTTTGAGCGCGTGGAGTGCACCAAGGTGATGGCGCAGGGTAGGCTGGAAAGGTTTGAAGTGTTGACCTCCCTCTTTACAGTAAGATAAGGTTGGTTGGAGGCCATCGCTACTAGGGTGGAGGCCATCGCTAGGAAAATGATTTCTCTTTCAGATTTTTTTTCAGGACATCATTGAAACATATTTAGTATGCTGGTTGACACCACAGCTCTTGGGGTTGTTTCTTGACCCACCCTCTGCAACCCTATGGCACGCCAAATAGGCATGCGCGCATTCTGGGTGCCTTGTGGCCTTGTGGGCATATATATATATAACTCTATATGTTGTGCTCTGCATTGACATGTTCATTTGCAGTATGTTAATTTGTTTTCAGTGGCATATGCTATTTCATTTCCTTGGTTCCATGTTTGATATGTCCCTTCATGGTTGCTTTCACATGAACCCTCAGTCTTCCATATTCCCAGCTGATCTTGATGACCCAAATTACATACTGCAGGAAAAAAGGATCAACCACTCACATTTTGTCTGAGCTGTGTAGTAGCCATGTTCATCCAGTTGCAATTACTTATGCATATGGCGTAATACGCACGGGTCAATGAACTTCAGGTCTTTCGACAAATCTCTGCAATGTCCACCGCTTCTAGGTTCGAGGCCATCGCTATTCTACAACTTAACTCAATTGATATTCTTCCTGATCTCCAAGCGAGGCGCCTTCCACCGCTGCAACCGCTGCAAATCCCTCCGTCTGCACAATGCTTTCGGCACAGGGTTTCTCCATCTCCGCCCGGGCGGTCTCGATCGACGTCTTCTCGGCGAGCAGCTTGTTCTTCACCTCCCAGGTGGGTCTTGACAGCATCGATTTCCATGAGAAAGTCCATGGATGCTGCTTCGATCCCTTTACCACGTTTTGAGATAAAGTTTGTCCAACATGTCGATTGACAGCAGCTAAAAAGGTAGCTTTGTAGTTGTTCAGGTGTATCATTGCAGTACTTCGAGGTTGGAACATGTTGGAACTTTGTGGGGGATAAAACAAGTTGTTTTTGTTTTTCCCAAAAGCATCTCCGATGCTTGGGTTCTTGTTTAGTCGCTAGTGCCGCGGAAGAGCGAGACAAAGCATGCGTTGTCGGGGACGGAAGCTGGATGTGGAGGTGGACGCGGTTGGGAAAAGAGGGAGGCGAAGGAAGGGAGGGGAGCGAGACGGGAGGCGCATGGGGCTGGGGAGGGAAGATGGAGGGGAGCGAGACGGGAGGCGCATGGGTGGCACTTGCGCGGCTGATATGCTAGTTACGAGGACATGGTTGCACCACAGCTGCTCCGGGTCAGTGCACAAGTAGAACGAAGCATGGGTGGGGGTAGTGCTGCTCCATGCTTCGCGGAAGCATGGGAGGTGAGTGGAGCTGTGTTGCGGGGCTTATACGATGGTCTTGGGTGTCCAAAATGTGCACAATGCATGCGGCAGACAATCAAGTCGTGGCTGGACGGGGCTGTGGAAGGAAGATGGATGCTAAGTAGAACGAAGCATGGGGGGGCTAATGCTACTCCATGCCTCGCGGAAGAACGTTATTGCGCGAGTGGAACTGTCTGGCGCGGCCTATATGACGGTCTTGGGTGTCCAGAATGTGTGCAGTGTATGCCGAAGACAGCCCAAGTCATTGCAGAAACGGCGGGATGGTGCATGCCAGAACCGCAATGCTTCAAATTTCATGGTTGGAACGAAGCATGGAGGGAGCTGATGCTACTCCACGCTTCCTGGAAGGATTGTTAGAAGCCATGTCGCAATCGTTTTATGGCCGTTTTGGAGGGCTTTCAAAATTGACCAAGGGGTGGACGGGGGTGTATATGGCAGACTGGGGTGGACGGATGCGCACCAGAACCGCGATGCTTGAAATATCATGGTTGCCACGAAGCCTGGAGGGGGCTCATGCTTCGTTTTGGCCTGCCAATATGTGTGTTTGTTTATTTTCCTGGGTCGCGCGCGTCTTTTTGCTTTTGGGTCCGCGGGCTCACCTTGTTTTCTATGCTCTTGTTGAATCCACTAGATGCATGCACTGCAAGGCGATGCAAGTGATGGTCAGTTCCAAACCCTATAATGCATCGCTAATTATATCACATCCACTTCATTAGGTATTTGACCACCACCACTCAACAGAACAGCGTTTTAGTCCAGCTTCTTTTTCGCCTGAACAAGTTGACGCTTCTGGGCCACAAGCTGCCGCTGGACTTTTTGGCACTTCCTGGGCTTGGCATTGGAACACTCAGCTCCAACCTACTAGCGATGGCATCCATCCCAATAGCAATGCCCTCCAACCTCCTAGCGATGGCCTCCAACCTAAGAGCAATGGCCTCCAACCTACTAGCGACGGCCTCCAATGGCCTCCAACCAAATAGCAATCTCCGCCAACCTACCAGCGATGGCCTCCAACCTCCTAGCGATGGCCTCCAACTTAGTGGCAAGGCCTCCAACCTACTAGCGATGGCCTCCAGCCTACTAGCGATGGGCTCCAACCTAATAGCAATGTCCTCCAATCTACTAGCGATGGCCTCCAACCTAATGCGGATGGCCTCCAACCTAATAGCGCCATTTGTTCATGCTCTGAAACCAGGGTTGTCATCTGGACGACCCATGCTTGCCACAATCAGTCAGAGGTGCACTTACTTTTCACTGCCGAGGAACTACTCGCAGGACGAAAGACCTCTACCATGCCAACCAGTCCTCTTGATCAATTTGGCAAGGGTTGAGTTAAACAGTAAGAACAAAGCCCTTCGGCTCTGTCACACAGTTCATGTTTTCCGGATGGTCCGGATATGTCCGGATACATGCCACGCTCCAAAAACGCGGCATATTACCCGTCACTTGTGCTTGTCCTAGGATATCCTAGGCTGCAGCCATTGAAACATCAAGCTGGGGCTTGCGGGCGGGCCTTAAACCTGGCCTGCCTGCTCCGTCAGCGCCGTTTGAGCAACCTCACTCTTCTTGGGTTTGCCGCTGAAGGAGGCTGAGCTCACACGCGTTCCAAAAGAGAAGTCCTTTCCTTCGGGAAGCACTTCAGCAGCCATCATGGTCATGAACTTGGTCACGCGCTTGGTGTCAAAGACTGCCAAGGTGTCGAAGGCCTTTTCGATATCTTTCTCATCCATCTGAGCCAAAAGTTCGGCCATGTCCTTGAGCTTCTCAGCCACCTTGTCCGGATCATGGCTCCTCAACACCCCGACCCACTTGCCCTACCCCACTTTAAACACGGTGCACTACCAAATCCACACATTTCATCTAACAAGTCTGTTCAAAATCAACGCCCACTGGGTAGTCCCGTGGCAAGACTTGGTACTCGAGAAGTCTGGCCATGACTTTGTCAAGAGCAGGAGTGAGAGACCTCTTTTTAGCTTTTGACAGTAACTTTGGGGAGGAGTGTTGATTTTGATTGATTTTGTAAAGGGTAGGTCTTCGCAACAGTACTGGCTTTTGCACTTATGTAATATTATTGCCAAGTGTTGCTTTCCTTTGGATTGCACAGTCAAGAAACCTACATGAGTGACCATAAATGTGGACAAGTGGTGCTTAAAGTGGTCTACGGTTGCGGAACCTTCTCGAATCTGCTGGATACCTTTGACATCCTTTGACAAAAGAAATTATGGATGACGGTGGAGATGAATGGACTCTGCAAGAGTAAAATAGAACAAATAGATGAGATACGTTGAAATAAAAGACCATGGCAGAATCAAGAAGGACTTGATTCATATTTTGAAAAACAAAAAACATTATATAAACGCATGCGAAACAAAGCCAAGGCCAGGGCTCCTTTTTGGGCCGGCAAAAGGCTGGATTTTGACCCGAACACTCTACAAAATCTCTACAAGGTCCGCTGCCCTGACAAACGAACTCATGTGCCACATTCCGAAACCATTTATGGACCTACAATTTCATGACCTTGATAGTTCTTTCAGTAGCATCTCATCACTCAGAAGTTTTATGGAGTTTGAAGCAAGCTGGGACGTTTTAAGTTCTTTTTGTGGACGCTCAAACGCTCCAGGTTGTAAGGGCCTAGTAAGGGACAAAAGGAGACTTGTTAATCAACGTCTTGAGTGACGGGGAAACTTTTGTATTACATGTCTGGTATAGCGAGGGTGAGTGGTTTGCACTATTTTGAACTGCGGGTTCTCAGTGGCCGCCAGCGGAATCTGTATTATATGTTGCTGATGAGCGGGAGGAAGGACTTTAGTTGACACGTCTGAAGATCAGTGATTTTGGAGTCAACCTCAGCAGTTTTAGATTTTTCAGGGAAAACTAATTAGACATGTTTTAGTGCAGTGTTTTTTTATTACAGAAGTGTTCCATGATCATCCAAACAATTCCGAACATTCAGAATCAAGTTTACAAATGTAATCAAATTTATGGCCCAGTCATTGAGTGTAAACACCCAGCGCAACACTATATTCATATATATATATACCCACATAGTCCAAACAACACCTTCAAAAGAGTTGGATCCTGCTTTGCAAAGTCAACATGTTCATACATTGTCGAAAGGTTTTTTCTGTTAGTTGTCCCACACCAAACATTCCCCGTACTTTCCCATACATAGATTTCCAAACACCCGTACAAACCACAAGGGTTCATGCCTTGCTCCTGGTGAGGTTGAAGACAGCATACTCCTTGGTGCCACCCATCGCTGCCCGATGCACCAAGGCCGCCAAGGACATGAGGACCATGACTCCAATCGAGCTAAATATGATCACCATGAGGACCATGCTGAAACCATCGGTGAAGTCACTGGTCACTCCTTTGGAAATCGGTTCCAGGTACAAGGCAGAGCCGGCCACGAGGATGAGAATGCAGTAGGACATCCAGCAGTCCAAGGCATTGAGCAATGGCACCTTCCAAGGCCATGCCAGGGTCTGGACCGCCAGAAAGCTTGCAAGAATGACGGTGACCCAAATGGTCTGGATCGGAGGATAGTCTGTTGCAAGCACAATGGGCAAGGAGATCAAAGGTCCTGCAGTCAAAAGTTGCACTCCGAGCCACCAGAAACCGAAAATGTCGAACAAACCAAAAAAGAACACAGCATGTACAACAGAAACATCAACGTGTCGAAAAATAACATACTTACTTATTATATACTTCAAGCGGTTCCCACCCTGAAGGATGATTTGGAAGAAGGCAGGCGATCATTGCAAGGAGCTTGTCAACTTTTCAACCACACGGGGGATGCCGCCTTCTGTGTGCGAATTACCTCGATAGTTTGCTAAAGCTTGACCACGCACGAAACTCTTCTTCGTGGCTTCTACTCGCCTCTAAAGGCACCTCGGCATTTGGTTCATAGAGATCGTCAGGAGGCAATCTCTTCGATATATCCAGCTTCGGGATGTTGGTGACAAGAGACTTTCGATCCTTTTAATACCCAAATTATCCTCGCCGTCCATGCTACATCGATGCAACATATCTTGTATTGAAATCATTGACTTTCCATGACTCTTTGGTTTGCTGCTACTTTCCGCCCAAATGCAGCCATTGACTCAGGATAAACTTATGAGCTATGTTTCTTCGTGAGAGACAAGTCTTGAAGCTTTTAAAGTGCACTTGGCATTGTCACGCTGACGCGCCATACATATCTGCCAGTGCCTGTGCAAAGCACCGCATGCTGAAGTTTCCTGCTCACCACTCCGTCACTGCTCCAGACCCGATGCTTGGTTGTGACACTATGCGGTTGCGCAATGCAAATTGGCGTGCCTCTGGAGTCTAACTGTCATATCTTCTGACATCCCTTCCGGCACTCTATCTGGCATATCTTCTCGCAAACATTCTGACATCCTTTCTGGCAACTCTTCTGACATTCTAACCGGCATATCTGTGGCATCCTTTCTTGCATGCTAGCTGCATATTTCTGGCGTATCTTCTGACATCCTTTCTGGCATATCGATGTCGTGCAGCCTGACCTGGCTCTATGGTGTGCAAAGGAGGAAGGAGTACCCACATGTACCCACCTTGGTTAAAATCTACAAAGATCCTTACCTGGCAGGCGGAGAACTTACAGAGAAGACATGTCATTAGACAAACATATAGGTCCTCGTGTCAGAAGTGGCACTCCGAACCACCAGGAATCCAAGCGAAATCGGAAGACCAAGAAGCGGAAGGCACGAACACGGGCGTGCTGCTCCCTTGCACTCCAGTGCGGCACTTGGACTGCCGCGTAGGTGCACAAGGTGAGGAAACCGAGGACACCCACCACCAAGAGTGTCACGCCACCTGCAAGCATGACCACGTGCTCACTCTCGCCGCAGATCACATTGGGATACTTCAGGATGCTCTGCAGCCCATTTGGGTGGGTATAGCACATCAAAGGCGCAAGCGCGATCGTTGACATGGTGGAGAATGTCACCTGTAAGAACTGGCCCACGCAGCTGAGAACCTTGGTCCAGTCCCAGCTGCGCTTGGGGATGAGCTGAGACACCAGGTAATTGGAGAACATCCAGAAAACCACTGTGGGGAAGAACATCACGCTGAACACGTAGCGGAAGGAGGTCTCAGCTCCTGCGAAGCAGGCGAAGCCGAAGCTGTCCAAGTCCAACAAGAGAAGCTGGAAGTAGGAAAAGAAGCCTTTGAGATCCACGGGCCATTCCACCGTCATCATTCCGATGATACCGACACTCTGAAGCAAAGAGACGAGCATTCCAAAGGCGCAGGTGGTGGTAAAGAGAACAGACGCCTTTGCCGTCACCTTGGAGGTCATCAGGTAGTAGGAGACGGTCATGAACAGGAAGATGCCCACCACACTGAACCCCCAAAGAACTTGTCTCCAGCTTTCACACATTTTGCACGATCCCTCCGTCCATGTCCTTCCTGCCGGACACTCTGCGCAGGGGATACCCTCGCGACCACCGGCACAGGTTTGCGGCAAGCCACCAGGACAATGGAAGATTTTCCCACATTTGTAGACCTCCAAGGGGTCCTCTTGCTTCACGTAGTAGCCTTCGACCACAGCTGGTTGGTACTCAGCACCCAAGGGATGAGTGCCAGACATGAAGCTGGGCAGGGTTCCCATCACTGGGCAATGCAAGCCTTCTTGGCAAGTGGAGCAAATCAAAGTACCCGGAGTTGTGGAGATGTCGATGCTTCCCTCATCACAGCCACAGTCCGTGAAGTAGGAAGACCCCAAGCCAAGTGTTCGACTTCCAGTAGGGCACTGCTTGCATTGAGCACCGCCCTCTTCGTCTTGATATTGAGCCACGGGGCAACGCTTGCAAGCTTGCTTGCCAGTTTCGTCTTGGTAGGAACCCTTGTCACAAGGATCACACATCAAAGAAGCTCCGGAGGCTTGGCTGGTGCCGGGAGGGCATGCCACACAAATGTAGGTCACACCCGCCAAATCGACCAATTGACTGGAAAAGGTCCCGCTTGGACAAGCCTGGCACCGTTTGTTTTCACGAACGGTGCGATCTGTTGCAAAGTCATTGGTGGCATCGTCGAAGAGACCAAAGCCAGCAAAGCAAGTGGTATCGTCTGGCAACCAGCTTTGCCAAATGTCTTCATTTGCCCTGAGCCAGCGGCATGTAACGTTCTCCCAAGAGTCTTGGGTCTGCTTCTGGTCAAGGAGCATGGCGTTCATCATGCTAAGATCAATCTGCAGATTGTCCAAGAATTTCTCCACCCGCGGGGCCAAGGAAAACAAATCTTTGCTCACTCCTTTTGACACAGTCGTTGCCGCATCACCGGATCGGTAGTTTCCAGCCGCCCGTGCGGTTCGGTCATAGGGTGGGAAGATCATCTCGAGTGGGGACAAATCCAAGAAAGTCGGGTCCGGCACCCACCAGTAAAAGGTGGACTTGACCATCAAGGGCAGTTGCGAGAAGGAGCCCCATGACTTTGCAACTGCGATTGCTAGTGGAATGTTCCAGAAGGCTGTCTTCTGCATGATGTCGTTGATGCTCCAACCATTGCCGCCGGTGAAGTATGGGATGCACAAAAGGGGGTTGCTTCGACACTTGAGGCCAAGCCAGAAGTACTCGTCTGGACAGAGCCCAGTGATGGAGTCACCCGAAATCACCACCCCACCACTGTCCCCTGTCTGTGTATAGTAGCCCCGCATATGGGAATCGATTGCAAAGTTCGTCTCATTGCAGCGCCAAAGCATGGACTTATCAATGACTGAGATGTTGTCAAAGTACTTCCACGGCTGCTTCCAGTCAGCATCCTTGGATTGGTTCAAGAACTTCGAGCTATCCTTTGGATTCCCTAAGTTGACAAAAGGAAAACAAACTAAACACCGTCACCTCAAGCAACACCTGGCGTCGAAAGAAGTGTAGTATTCCAAAGGAAGGCCCTCTGCTTGAGCTGCTTCATTTTGACGATCTTTGCCCAAGTAAATCGAGGTTTTTCCATCATAGCCCATCGAGCTGAGCAATTTCGGGGCCTTGGACTTGTAATCCTTCTGAATGCTGTTCCACAGTTGTGTATACCCTTCCCACAGCTCCATGTTCACATGGTTGTAGGTGACCTCTGCATCACACCCGCGGTCGTCCACGTTGGCGGGGTTGCTACACCCTGCGATCGCATAGTAACCCTCCGGAGTGGCGGGCCCCGGACCATTGTAGCTCACGTGGATGCCAAGCATCTCCTCGATGATGATGCCGGCGAGGTAGTTGGCGACCCAACCCGCACCCCAATTGTTCACCCACATTCCCAAAGGATAGGTCTCACCATTGGGATTGACGAGGTTCTTGCGATCGGCGGGTTCTGTGCCATTAACAAGGCAAACTGCTGCCACTTGGAGAGGCAACAAAAGGCTGATGACAAAGCTCCGCATGCTGTCAAGAAAAAGAAACACTGGTGAACGCTGTCAGCGATCTCAGCGATTCAAGTCTTGAGCCACTGGAATGAACTAGTGCGTGTGTGTGTGTGTGTGTCCGATCAGAGCAGCTTGTCCAAATAAAACCAACAAATAGTTCAGCGACAAATGTCTCATTGACATCCACCAAGGCACTTCTCATAGCCCAAGCCTTGAGCTTACAAACAATCTCGACCACTGACCCATCGTGACCCGCTGATAGTGCCGCTAAGCTTCTCATTGAAGTCTGTCCTCTCTTTCTGCAGATCTTCTTGCAGCAATGAGATCTCTTGTTTCGAGGCCTCCATCTGCGATCTACTCGCACGACGTCTGCAAAGCTGAGTCTCACACCGGATCTCTGGAATCAAAGGAAACTCTTGTAGGATCCTAGATAATCCCTCTCAGTTATTTCTTGCAGAACTGCCTAGTGTGTACACTGCCAATTCATATAATATATATATATAATACATGTTGTATGTCTCGCTCTATGCCTTCCCATGCAGCGAGGCCGCCTTCAATTCAGCCTTTTGCTTCTCCAGATCCGTTTCCAACGACCCCATCTTTGCCTTTTGAGCCTCAGTCAATGCCATCAGGCTTTTAAAACGAGCCCGATCTGGTTTGGTTGACCTTTGCCGAGCTGGAGCCAGGTTGGAGCCATACTTTCGGGGGTGCAAGAAGGAGTCCAGTCCAGGGAGTTTGAGTTCTGAACTTGAACATATGTTCATATATGTTCATTTAAACAAAGCATCTCCTTCCATTCACCTGTGGTATGGTTTCTTGATGCATCTTGCACCAGCAACGGAAAGGTTGATGATTTTTTGTGAATATCTCTGACTCTTAGCTTGAAGGTGCTTGTTGGGGTAAGAACCAACTTCTGACCTTCCCGCGAGACTCTTCCCGTGCCCGTCTTGCCTGCAGTTCCTTCTGTTGTGCTAGGATTTCTTCGACGTCCTCCTCCATCTCGGCCCGCTCCTGCAAGAGCCGCGCCTTCTGCTGCTCCAAATCCACCTTCATTTGCTCCACGGCCGCTTCGAAGGTCGCACGATCCGCCAAAAGCCTCGAGAGCTGAAGCGCTGGGGTACCGATGCTTCTAACAGCTCTTTCGGATTTGAATAACTTATGACTTTGGAACAGCTTTCAGTCGGTTAGTTCCAAGTAAAGTCATTGTCTACGTTTTTGCTCTTCCTTACTGTTTTGGAACCTCAAAGGTTGCATGTCAACTTGTGAGTAGCACGAGACATGTGTCCAACTTTGCATGCACCGTAAGAGAAATCGTTTCACAATGATGTAAACGTAGTTGTAACTGAGTTGGAAACTGAGTTGGCGTAGATTGGTGCAAAACGTTCAAGCTCAACAATTATAGATTTGTGCGGGGATGGACATCAAGAAACAGCATGTGCAGGGCACCTAGGGTACCCTGGGAAGTGCTGGATGCGGACACGCGGGCAACAAGGTGAAGCAGCACATTGCATGCCCCAAGTTTCCTATCTATAATAGGAAATAGATGGACATAGGTAACATGGGTTTTGGAAACTCTGCCGCCGCTCCGGCCAAGATTAACTGATTATTGATTATACACAAATTTAGGACCGATGCTTCCGGACATTACACAACATGAAACCACCAGTTTATAAGGACTATTATTGACTCCCTGCACTCCTGATATTTCTCAGAAAACATCAGAATACGCATTTATTCCGCATGTCTTGGGCAAGCAACTCTTGACTTTGTTGCTGCAAGCGGTGTCTTTCGGACTCCAAGTCGTCCCTTTCCTCCTGAGCTATAGATGTAACATCCTTCTGAGCTTCAAGCTTTTTCCTTTCACCCGCCACTTCTTGCTTCTCTTTCTCAAGGGCCTGCAGGCGAGATTGGTATATTATATAGTATATAACTTAATAGCGATGGCCCCCAAACTACTAGCTTCTTGTTACTAGTAGCGATGGCCTCCAACCTATTACCGATGGCCTCCACCCAGGCCAAGGGTATATTTGCATACTAGAAGCCCTTGTTTTGCGAACTTTCAAAGCCATCGCCATGCATCGCCACCGACATGTCTCGACTCGACGCAATCGAAGCAATTGAATCCTCCTTTTCCTATTTGGTTCAGAACTTTTTCCACGGCCATCAGCACCGGGCCACTAACAGCGGCATTTCTCACTTCTCCCACAGCGGCCCACACATTCCGGTCCTCGAGTGCATTCTTGCGCATCTCGTTGAACTCGTGGCGGGCTCGATCCAGTTCGGCTTGCTGCTTCTCCAAGTACCTTAACGAGAAACCCTTGGACTTGAAGATAACAACGCCTTGGACTTGAAGCAGGAATGGCCATCCAAACAAAAAGCTCCTAATAGCGTCCTTGTTCCTAGTAGTAAGGCCAGGAGCCCCTAGTAGCGTCCTCTACCCCCCCTAGGAGCAAAGCCAGTGCTTTTGGAATGGCCTTCTTTGGACCACTTGATGGCCCCCCAAAGCAACTTGGCTGGCACATCACAGCGTGCCGAAGAGCTGGACCGAGCTAGAGCGCGCCGCCAATGCCCATGACCGAGGCATCGATATTACATAACTGTATTAATAGATAGTATAAATATATAACTTTTGATACTTTTGTATAATGATAATGTTTGTATGATACAAACATAGTATGCATAGTATGCTTGAAACATTTGGTTACACAAATTATCCAAGTAAAAGATATGGACCCCCGTGACGAACACTCCAAAACTGTTGGAATGATGTTGAATTCTGAACAACAGACCAGCATCTGTTTACTATCTCCAGGGAGTGCTCTGACCGTCAACAGGCAGCACGTCCCGCACGGCGCGTTCATTCTGGTTGCAAAGATTCGGCTTGCATCGCCTTCCTCCGATTTTGTGTCTCTCGTTCGTACACTTCACACTTCTCCCTCATCTTCCTTCAGTTTGCAGCACTCAACTCTTCCCACAAAAAAAAAAACAAGTCCATCAGAACCGTGGCTGCCTGCCATTGTTTAGGAAAGAGCTCAGTCTTGCTTTTAAGGATTCAGCATGAAAGCGCGAAAAGCAAGAAAACTGATCTGTTCAATCAACTTACCATGATGGACAGTGGTTGTTATTCTTAGTCTACCCCGGCATGTTTCATGCCCCTCCAAATCACCAATACAAAGTCAGGTTTCCCCAAAAATCGAACAACATCATTAGTGCGTGAGCTATCCTGCGTCCATATGTAGGAGCGGACTTCTCCTAGATTATCCTAGTAGCAACTACTTCTCCCTTACTTAATCAAGTAGGCGCCTACATAATAAGGGCCGGCTAAAAAAAAGACAAAAAAAACTTCGGTTTCATGCACTCTGCCGAGTCTCTGGAGTTCCGCTTCTTGAGCCACGAGTTGTTGCTTCTGATCCTCGACCCGCTGACGTTGCTGCAGAATTTCCTCAGCCACACAACTCGGACTGAGCGGTGATGGCCGAGGGTGTGAGATGTTTCTCGAGCTGTGCGAGGGTCTCAGAGTACATCATGTCCGCACAGCTGATGGCCTTGCGACACTTTTTTGACATTTTAGTGTGAAATGAGCGTGTGAAATATCCTCTGGGGCTCGTCATTGGTGCCAAGTTCAGCTTCTCAAAAGGAACAACTGTTCAGCTTCTATTTCACTGTTTCACGATCAAAGCTGCACATCATCAGGAGCTTCTGCAACCCTCGTTGCAGCAATAGAGTATCTAAGTATTGCATATGATACGGTAAAGGTAACCCTACGGCGGATACACTAGCAATATCTAGCAATCATGATCATCTAAACACACTGAAGGAAGCACTGCTAAATCAAGCAAGCCTGTCAACTGATTGGATGTGGTCTAATCCCCCCACTAGCTCATGGAGCGGCACACATGTACACAGGAACTTGTTCACACCGCCAAGAAACTGCTTTTGTTTGGTTGTTCTTGTTCTTCCGATCTTCTTCTGCTTGAATGTCAATCCCCAACTCTGTCTTCACCTTTCCAGGCAAAATACCGTCGAGAGCTCAAGATCCAGTCGAAACCCACAGAGTACGAGTAGCAGTCAACACGTTTCCACCGAACAAGGCGGAGTTCAAGAAGCAACCTAGAAAGCTCGGATCATAATTAAATATAATTAATCAGGATCCAGCCACAAAAACTACAAGTATAGACAAACATAGACAAACTGATGAAGAAGAGGGCACCAAGCTCTTGCCAAAATGGACCTGGGAAAGCTGGGATCAGGCAGCCAACTCCCACTCGGCACCTTGTCATGCTCATCTCGAAGAGCCTTTTGCAGCATGACCTTTTTGAATTGAAGACGCACCGTCTCTTTCTGAAAGTGAGCCACCTGGGCCAGGGGTCAGCAAAGTCGTCTACTCAGTCTACTCCAAACAATCTTGTTGTCAATAGATGTCGAGCTGCGAGTACGTGCCACTCAGTTTTCAGAAAAGGCCTTCGTGCTCCACTGGACCTACACGCAGCCTGTTTGAAAGAACAGCAACAAAGAGCCGAACCAACTCATCCTGACCCATACTGAAGCACGCCGCTTTCCCCCCTCGAACTCGTGCCACGCGGTCGCCTGTTTCCATGCGCCGCAGTTGGGCGGCTGCACACGAATGCGCAAAGGCCGGCTCTTAATAGCCTGTGTGAACTCCTCAAGGAGATAGAAGTCTTTTCGGGATATGTCGGGGATTCTGGTGCCGAAGGGCGACGTGGAAAGGGCCTGTTCAATAACCATTTCAGTGAAACCCATTGTCTGGGGTCTGAGGGACAAAACTATTTTAGTTTGTAAGTTACTACAACTTTGACCATGGCAATTCGACTGTCGTGAATGGTGTTCAACTGTGCTTGGCGGTGCTCGTCATTCGAGTTTGCCATCGGTGCACGATGGTGTTCTATCATTTGGCAAGGAGACGAAGAGCTAAATGGCCGGTGCTCGCAGGAGCTCTATGGAGCTCTTATCCTACTATAGATCCTACTAGTAAGGCGCCTTGCTACTAGTATCTACTAGTAGCAATGCATAAGCAATGCCCTTGTTACTAGTAGTAATGCCCTTGTTACTAGTAGCGATGCACTTGTTACTAGTAGTTACTAGTAGCCAGTAGCTTCTTGTATTTTTTGAACCGCACCAGTCTTCTTGTGGTATATTAAACCTGGTGACCCATTCGGGCAAGCTGCCATCACCATTGTTTCGTCGAGACACCCACGAGCGGTCACGAGGCCCGCGCACGGTCCCGAGTCCTCTCGCGTCATGCTGCCAACCTTCAGGCCACCCAGTTCTAAGACTTCGCAACCGGGACCAATCCTTGCAGCCACGAAGCGCGAGTATTCCGGTGGACAGCAAGTAATCCAGCTGTGTCTCAGGGACAAGTATCTGTTGCAAAGCATGGCTACTTAGGGACCAGCTGACCAGCAAGTTTCAGCCTAACAGAATGACACGGGACACATCGGGAACGATTGCGAACCCTCCAATACCTGAACGAAGCACATCGGTTGCCCTGTGGTGTGATGCTGGGGGATCAAGCCATAGCCGGCCGTATCAAACCAATCTTGCATGTTTTTGCCCGGAACGTCGTGTCCGCGAAGAATGATAATACCCATCAGAAAAGAAAATCAAAGGATATCAAAGGTTTGGCATGGTTTGGCTTTCGGCACTAACAGAAATTTGGCTGGGCAAGAACGGTCAATGTCGGCAGAAACAAGCCCTGGCCACCGCAAAGTTGCAAGAACAGGGTCCCCCTAAAGTTGCCCAGTATTCGACAGGCCACGTCAAGGCTTCCGTTCGCACGGCAGAATCTTCTCCAAGTAACCCGGCATTCTCTGCCCATGTGCCCTCGTGCACATGTTTTACTATCATTGGAGGTGGTGGCAACGGTGGGAGCGACATGAAGACCAAGCCCAAGCTTCCAACCTTGAAAGCAGGAGAAAAACAACCGAGTAACTGGATGGAGCGTCATTCTATGGGATGCTATGGCAGCTATGGGGGTAAAAAAGAACATGACATGCGAGGACGTGTAATTAAGTTCGAACAAGCTGAAAAGGAAAGTAGTGCAACATCTGTTACCCAGGAAGGACTTTGGACATCTTTGGACCCTTTGGGGCTCCAATGACTCCGCCTCACAGCTTGGTGATGCATCGGTTGTGATATGTTGTGATCATATACGGTCAAATTCAATCAAATTCAAAGTATTTAAGAACAAGGCCATAAACTCAATGCCTGTGGCTTGCATCACTGAGCATACTGAGCAATACAAAAAATACACATCTAAAAACAAAAACAAGTAAACTCTGAGTGTGAAACGGTGTCGTCCGCAGTGAGCACCTGCTCTTCCCTCTGTGTGAGGTCCATCTGTCATCTCAAAGGTCAAAGATGCACATGGCAGCGAAAATGCGAGAGGAGGAGTGCGATCTGCAGCGATCTCCCCAGATTTTGCCCATTGTTTTTTGTGACCAATCTATATCCTATTGCATCTTTCAGCTGCCTTGCTCAGTGAACGATTGTGTGATACAATACCATGGACTTGCTTCTCTACATCAGATTTGGAAGCGTTGAGTAGCAAATGTGGATGAGCCAGCCCCGATTCATGATGGCACATGACACGTGGAAGCTACACACTACCAAGCAGCTTGATCCAGGGCAGCCGGGGAAGCATTTGCTGGGAGAGAAGAAAACCGATCAAACAGGTAGTTCAGCCTGCAAACATCAATAGAACAAGTTGTTTAGTGTTGGCCCGGAATTGCGACTTCCGGCTGTCAATTTCCACTGAACATACGTCAACATATGTGAAGAATCACAGATTGAGGCATGCCGAGACTCCTAAGACTTCGATGAGAATCATCATCCAACTCATTGATTGGGCCCTCCCCCCCCAAACGGGTTCAAAGGGGCGATACCTGGCCAGCTTCTCGGCAGTAAATGTTCAAGCTGCACTTTGCGAATGAAGCCCTTGCGGATCTCAGTCGTGGCGTTCTTGATATTTTGCTCGAAGGGGATTCCATCTCCTGCAACGGCGCTTTTCAAACAGCGAGGCTTAGCTTAGCTTTCAAGCAAGGAGCCGCCTCCGGTGAGAGGTTCAGCAGCTTCTACCAGCGCCATGGCCCTGCGACACATGTGTGGGCGAGAAAGGGGCCAACCTGCTTTTGAATCCCTATTCCCCATCTACAACATCTTTGCAAAACACATTATCCGGGTGCATGCTGCGGCTATTATCAAAGCTCAAAGCACTAATGCAATGAACCAAAACTACAATAATATCAACAACAAACCAACGCCTTTTTTCACACTGAGATGGCGGTTGCTGTGACTAGTTAACACCGAGTTCCTTTAACACACACACACGCCACACAACTACTGCTTCCTAACATGTCCACTCTGAATTCCCTAGGGTCGGTCAAACTCGTGCTGAAATGCCAAGTGCACGACCAAAAGGGACATATAATTACAGCTGAATATCTCTATGATGCATGGAACCAACTATTTATTTAGGGAGGCAAACCTCACGGTCATGGCACTGATGCCGTCTAACATCAGTACGGAACCCCAGAAAACAAACGTCTGCGGTCCCTACGTTCTACGCCGTCTACGCGGACATGCAAAGCCACTTGCCATCCCGCCTGACCCCACGCAGGTCCTACAGGGCCTTCCCGCTGTACAGCTTGAGAGCTGTGGCGTCAGTCACGGCATCACGCCCAGGATTCAGTGATTCGTTTCCCGAACTCAGTGAATCATGACATCTGGGCCATGTTTGGCAACCGAAAATCAAAATCTAGGGTTGTGACTGTTTCAGTGCCTTTATCAACAAGAACGGCACCATTCCCAGCCGATGATACACAGCACAATGGGTGAGTCAGTGAGGGTTCAAAAGAAGGAAACTGCGGTCTGGGAGACATCGCAACTAGGAGCAAGGACGCTACTACGGGCTCCTGGCATCGCTACTAGGAGCAAGGACGCTACTAGGGGATCCTGGCCTTACTACTAGGAACAAGAAGCTACTAGGGGCTCCTGCCATCGCTACTAGGAGCAAGGATGCTACTAGGGGCTCCTGGCCTTACTACTAGGAACAAGAAGCTACTAGGGGCTCCTGCCATCGCTACTAGGAGCAAGGATGCTACAAGGGGCTCCTGGCCTTACTACTGGGAACAAAAAGCTACTAGGGGCTCCTGGCATCGCTACTAGGAGCAAGGACACTACTAGTAGCTCCTGACAAAATACAGCGATGTTACCAGGCAAGGTCGGCCCCAGGCTCGTTCTGAGTGACCACAGGATACATTGTTTGTTGATGCCTATCTCTTTTTGAGACTCATTATGTATTTGTCATGCACTTGTTTATGCCTATCCTCGGCACAAGCATGCTTTCATGTGCTCCCCAAATAAACATCATAGGCATCGTCAAGTACAGGATCAGGAAATATCAGGACCAAGAGCGTCCGCCTTGCATGACTCGTTGCAGTCTCCCTTTTACACATCTAGCTGGAACGATGCTCGCCCATCGAACTTGGCAGGTATGTCTTCACCCGCCACAGTGGTGCGATGCAGAATCCTCGAGGAACACATGTGGCACACATGATGTCAACGGGGGGCACGTCAGCCATCCAAAAACATGCAAAGCACTTACCATTCAAGCATGGGCGGGTGGTTCAACAAATAGTTCTAATTGTATTACATATCATCCTCTGAGCTCCTCACCGCCTAAGGTAAAGCACCATGAGCATGGGCCATCCCTCTGAAAAGGTATGATGGTATAACATGGTGTAACCATCACGACTTGATGCTAGAAACCGAAACCCAAAACCCTAAACCCACAAGTACAAGAGAGCCAAAGTCAAGTTTGTTCTGCTAGAACTCCACTGGTCGCCAGGAATCTCCATCGAAATCAAGAGACCTCGCCGCCACTGTTTATCCAACATAAACCACCCTGATCTCACCCAGACTCTCAGGACTTCCTGGCTTCCCCAAGCGAGTTTGGTCATTCAACGGCAGTGTATAACTCCCTTAACGGTCAAACTGGCTTTACAGCACATCCAACTATTTACCCACCTGAGTGCAGCTATGTTCATAACTGGAAAAAGGCATCGTGTCTTGTCTTGAGAAAAGAAGGCACACGTCGAGTGCTACACTCATGACCGACTCACCGGCCATACCCGTCGCGAGCGCTCCTCAGCCCTGCTTTGTGCTTGGAGTTCTGCGTGCCAGGCGAGGCGTAATGACCTGGACCCCCAAACCAGAGGGCGTAATGCCTGGTGAGACCCCCAACTGTGCATGATAGGTGTGAGGAGATATTCTCAGAATGGCAGGTAGCCGCTGTGACTGATGTAATAAAAAAGCAAAAAACTGAGAGTCTGAGGATCCACATGCACTACAAAGTTTAAACGCTTGGATATGCTTGGATCAGGTCTTTCTCTCATTTTGGGGCCTATGAGAATCGCTCTGGGACATTTCAAGTTTGGAGGGACACAGCTACACACTTGAAATTGCATGCAGGACAGGAAAAATCAAAAACAGCAAAACCCATCACCTCATCTCGTCCCAACCCTTGGCTCGACATTCATGGCATTTCCTGATGTGTGGAGAAGTGGGGTGTGTCAAACAAATCCTTGTAGAGAAACAAACACATTGGTCCTATATGGTCCTATTGTCAATTTTGTTTAGTCTCTAGCACCACCTGGCCAAATGGGAACGCACCAGATTGATTGAGATCGATATCTATTGCTCCTTGTCAGGTAGGAAAAAACACCATGACCAAACTGTTTGAGGGACCAATGACCTGCGCTCTCATTTTGCCGTAGCGCCGCAGCTCACGCGCACCGTGGCACCGCACAGTTTCCCAAGTTATCATTGATGGCGAAGTCGCCCTCCTGAAACACTTCCAGCAGGATTTCCAGGCCGCACCAACGGCGGATTTTTTTCGCGGTGGGTGGATGCGAGAGGAGCGAGAGGAGCACCAAACCACAAGAACAAACAACATCAAACTAACCATCATCACGAAGACCACCCAACGAACGGACAAGTTCCGGTTTTGACCCATTAACCTATGCGTGGATGTATAGGGGATACGTGGATCCCTCACAAGAACCCCTTGGGATCCAAAGCTTGCACACCCACAGAATTGAAGATTGAGCCCTCGGCCAAGAGTTTTCAAGAAGACACAATCATACATACAATATAGATGGTGTTTCACTTTCAAATGAAACTGAGATCATACTAACCTCTTCGGCACAGAAATGTGTTTAGGTCAGCCCAGCTGCGATTCAATTCGTTGTTAGGAGCATCTCGGAACATAGCAGTCGATTGAATTTTGTTCGGTTTATTTGATCTTGCAAAAAGAGCACCATGCAAATCACATTCCGTTGAACCAAGCGAACAGTACTGACTGTGAGAGTACCAAAGCAACAGGTTGAGTATTCCGTGGAACAGGCTTGCAACTTGTAATCAACTCGCACTCACAAAAACCTTGAAATATTCACCGGTCACCAATCCATAGTAATCTACTATGTATACTCTTGAACCCCAGCAACTTCAAAAGTGAGACTAAAGCAATGTTTTAATCCTGCTCGGACCAATGTACCACCGCAAGCTGAATAACAAACAACATTTATCTCCACATACAGGCCAGTCCCAGATGATGGAGAGAAGGAAGTCTGTCCAAATACATTCTATGTAATACCGTAGATTGACACATATTGAAACGCTATCACTTTTTCCACTCTCTCTGAAACATGCTTCAAGTTCCTAGCCTCCCAGCTCATCTTGATGCCAATCTTCTCTACGGCATCGTCAAGACGCTGAGTCAACTCCTCCTGCGATGTGTTCCTCTTGACACGTCTATGCCATGCTTTGCCCAACATTTATCAGTGACTGCTACCAAAAGAAAACTCTGTCCTTCTGAATTCCACAGAAACATCACGCGAACAAGGATTGAATAGCAGAACCTTGTAGAATCCACAATCAATTCCACATTGGAGTTGCTGAACCTTTTGACAATGCGATCATCAAGTATCACCATTGTCTCATCGAAACTTGCCTCTCCTGGACGACATGTGGGGGCAGCAATTTCACCGCAGTTTTCACGGCTTTCCTGGTGGAACGAAGATTGATAAAACGAAATCAAGTGGTTCTATGCTGAGGTGTGGATGACCAAATCGCCAGAGACACACAGTTATGGGGCATGCACTGTCTTGCCTATCAAACTGCCACCTGCTTTTTTGAAAGTGAAGCTTGAATGAGTTGCCATTCTGTCAATGAAAAGTGCTCAAGCATATCAAATGTGTCGTAGTGAACCATGCTCTACCCCTGGTACACAATGGCGACGCGTTGAGCCCCCTATTTTTTGCCTTCTCCTGTGGAAAACAATGGAGTAGCAAGTATATCAAAGAACCCATCGTAGGTGCCCAAACAAAAAGATTTTTGTTTCATGCAAGCACGTGTCTTTTCTGTGGAGGGACTCCATAATGGATTCACTCAAATTCCCATCTACGACTCCTCTTTGATGAATCCCCATCAGAATCCTTGGAGAAGAGTCGAGCGGAGTGAAGAAGAAAGGTTCGTGAGCTCCTCCTTTACACAAAGTGGGTTAACTCCTGATTTATGGTGGTAACTGGCTTGATCTGCCTCTAAATTGTACCAAACATCCAGCAAGTTCTCAAAGCAATCCGTTTCAGCATCCATATCATCCAGAATCTAGATTTCTAGGTTTGGATGACTTCCAAACTCTGAGTTGAAAACACCTGAGACAGTAGCATCATCTGATGACACCTGGTATTCTGTCTGTTCTCACAGTGTCTAAGGTTCTGGCCACTGCAACTGCAGCACAAAAAGGAGGTCCACAATGAAACATCATGCTCGTGTCCTACGCAAACAAACAAGGAAATCACGCCTTGGCCATCCCGAGTCCAGTTCAACGATGGAGAGAGTGTCGGAGTCGAATCACTTGACAAGGGATCAGTCCAAAAACTTATTTTCAGGTAATATCTACAGTCAATCCACGTGAAACCCTTTGTATTTCTTAACCATTAATTGGGTCTTGCACTCTTTAAAGGCCTGGGTATGCCTGGGTTGGACGTTGTTTAACACCGAACTTGGCGCATTATGTTGTCTGCAGTGACCCTGTGTATAGGATCCTTTTCTCTGCTTGGAAACAATATACGAGTCAAGTGGCCACAAACATTTGCTCTAGAGTTGAGTCGACAGGATTGAATCATCTTACTGCTCTATTGAACTGTGCATGCTGTGGACAAATCTGCTCTTAAAGTGTTGTAGATTGACACAACTCTGTTGTATCCACCAATCAATTCCCTCCATAAATGCGTTGTCCTTTCTTTTGCTACATGTCCCTCCCTCCCTCCCTCCCTCCCTCCTCCCTCTGTCCCTCCCTCCTTCAATCCCTGCCTGCCTCCCTTCCTTCCTTCCTTCCTCCCGCGGTTTACATTGTCCTTCTCCTTGCATTGTGTTTTTCCCTGGCTTTGCTGTTTTTACCCGTGTCCGAAGAAGCAGACTTTCACCTGTCAAGTTTCTTGGCAACGTTCTGCAACAAGCCCTACATGTATCTACATGTTGCATATGTCAAATTACTGGTTTGTATCACCTGTAGACCATCTGCTGGACCCATTGCAAACCACAGTCAAACCGCATGTCTCACTTTGATTCCCATGAGTGCCGTGACCGCACCTCCCTCACAGGATGTCGATAGACCAATGGATGTGCAAGACCTTCACTGGAGACCATCCAATACTTGTCCCAGCCTTGACTTTGGCGCAGCCAGGCCGTTGAACAGTGCCCAGTGAATGATGCGAACGAGACAAGGATGGACATCAGAAATGATGGCAATGGGAACACAAAACATGCCCTTGAAGAAGTCTGTCTAGCAGCTGACTGATAATCTTGGATCAAACCTCAATAACCATCACTTAGCATACATAAACCATCAGTTAACCTCAATATCCATCATCAGAAACAGAAGCCATCTTGGAGGAAACCACACGGTGGAATCTCACCACAAACTCCTTCACTGCTGTGATTCACTGAAGCAATGCTGAGTCAATTTGGTGAGAGCGTTTGAATCAGCCGTCCAGTCTTCTTTACCTACGCAGTTTTGATCCTGTTAGCATATACTCTAGGAAAATGAGATAGAAGCTGTGAAATGATGGTTGGAAACAAAACACTCCTATGTCATCAGGAAAGAGCCTATATGCCACAGCTCCTATCTCATCAGGTCAAAGCATACAGAAATGAGCCTGGCACGCACATTTGTGTTTTCACATCGGTCACATCAATGTTTGAGGTTGCATGGTTTGCGGAGGTTTTTGACATTGAACCACACATGACCTAGGAGTAGCCACCAACATAGCATGTGGCAACTAGGGGATGAGGTAGGAAACCGTTTGCTAAAATTCCAGGGTGACAACCTATGTCATGAGTTCAAGGTCCCTACTCCCTATGTCATCAGCCTGCCACCATACACCCACGATCTTGACCAAAGTTCGACAGACGCATGCATGACTTCAGAGTTTAGAACTTTATGGACGTCCAAATGGCCCCATGACAAGAAGCCATAATAAGCCATAGATCTGTTTGAGAAGAAGAACTTGAGTGGCAAGAAATTATATGACATAGCCCAGGCAGTGGGAAAAACTATGGGAGCGCGCCTAAGTCATGAAGCTTGAAACAGTCATATTCTCTCCTTGGGAACAGTGCTTTGTTATAATCTTTTGAGTCATGTACTGGTAGAACGTCCACAGCTCCTATGTCATCCTGCTGTGTATGCTATGGCCCGCAACTCCTATGCCACTAAGCCCAGCAAATTCCTATGTCATTAGCCCTGAGTATACCTCTTTGTTGCAACCCTGGGTTAAACTGACACATCCTAGGGCTAACAAGAAAGGGTTGGGCCGGGTTGAACAAAATTGATAAAACAAATTGCAATGGGCTATTTAAAACAACAATAATAATAGTAATATATATATATACTTCCCCCCGGATTTTGAGACAGCGCATTTGGTCCCTCTCGGCACAAGGTTCGCTGCTTGATCCTGGTTAGATCTGGGCCGCCGTGCGATCTCTGGTCTCCTCCATTCGGAAAAAGAGACACAACACATCTATCGGGTGTGAAGCAACTACTACCTGAGTGAGCCAATCAAGTAGAATAATACTGAGCTTTTCAATCTTGTGGAGAACCAAATGGAGTGTTGTTCTCGAAGCCGAAGCCCGAAGTGACTCATCAACCATCTTCCGTGTGGAAAGGGACCCTTGCGATGCGTCAACTTATTTATTTTCCGAGAAGCACATCCAGAAAGGAATGCTAGGTGCTTCTTTCGTTTGTCATGAATACCAGATTACTGGACACATCTTTTCACCAGCTAAGATATGAGGACTTTTGTGCGAAACGAACTGATAGTTGGATAGTTGAGCGGCGAACCGATCTCCTGGTCTTGCATCTCGTAAAACTCCTTCAAAGGCACAAACCTGAGGGAATGCAGTGGTTGAAGCATGTTGAAGCTGCAATCCGGGTAAATGCGCTGAAGGCATGAAGTACCAACGGGGTGTTCGGTATGACGGCCACATCTGGACTTGAGGCGGCAAAGGCACCCAATCTTGACCCATCCAAACGACCCCCTCAACGCGCAAGCACCTCATGCTACTAGGAACAAGAAGCTACTGTACTAGGCGAGGCCATCGCTACTAGTAACTATGTCTTTGAAGCTTCTTAGTAATACAGCTTTCTAGTAGCTAGAAGCTACAGGTGGAGGCTATCGCCATTAGGCCCATCCAAACAACCCCCTCAACGCACAAGCACCTCATACTGAGGGGGAAGGAATTCCTCCGGCTCTGTTGGGTGCTCCGCACCAGGTTTCACCTCCTTCACAAACGCTATGAAAGTGCATGGTCTGGTACTTGAAGGGCCTCAATGTGCATTCACTGTATGGGCGGCTTCGATTCAAACCCATTGGACGAGCTTGTATTTGCTTTGCATCATGTTATATAGCTATAAATTTGGTATCACCCGTCCCGATCTAGGGACCGTAGGAGGGACCACCAGCAAAATAATTTTTTTATTATTTTGAGGTGGGGGGACGTAGTCGAAAAAAACTATTCCTAGACGTGTCAGACGGTAGCTTGGAATTTTTTGGCTCCAGAACAGTTTTGGTTACGAGCGTGTCCATGTGCTCCAATTAATTTGTGGATCAATCCCGGGGGGGAACTGAGTCGGACAACCGAGCTGTCGGAAATTCTCACGGAAAGCTTTTTCCGACAGACGGAATCTAACACACACCCCGCGACATCAGTCGCGCGATGTCCAGGCTTTCGAAGAAGAGACAACCAATGGAACACAATCAGGCTTCTGACATCATGGAGCTTGAGTTGCTGAGGAAGAAATATCAAGAAAGATTGAGACAAGCCCAAAAAAGATAACCGATGCTGTAGTGGTTTAGTTTTGTTTTTGCTTGCACATGTATAGAAAGAGGCAGAAGCAACAGGAAGGCGTCGGTACTTGCCACACAATTGGAATATATTGGAGAATTATTTAAAAGGTACCTGACCCCTCCCCCGAGATGACAACGTAACATAAGGGCAAGCAAGCGAATGGAAAATCAAGTAGACGTCAGGCAAGCAAATGGAAAATCAACGGCAAGTATGGGAGAGGTCAACCACCCTACAATTAATTTTAAAGACCCCCATATTCTACTTCGCATGGTCGAGTTTACAGTGAAATGGAGGACTACATGGGATTACAAAGAATTCCATGGCATTTTAGTTTGCGGATCATTGTGGTTTAGTTTTGTTTTTGCTTTCACATGTATAGAAAGAGGCAGAAGCAACAGGAAGGCGTCGGTACTTGCCACATAATTGGAATATATTGGAGAATTATTTAAAAGGTACCTGACCCCTCCCCCGAGATGACAACGTAACATAA